GAGCTCCGCCTCAAAATCTGGGATGAGGCAACAGCCGGACCTTCAATACACATCTTTGATGTCTGTTTCCCGTCCTGGCGCGGCACTGATCGAAGCAGAAGGGCTTTCCAATCCGCAGACGGGAAGATTTCAGAGCAGAACCACGCCAGATGGACAAAGTACAGAGAGTGTGTCTTCTTGGACGCCCTTGAAACAGGGCCGGCGGAGCTTGCGCGGCAGACGAGGATTGCGAGACACATGCACGATCCATCCGTCTACAAACAACGGCAAACGATGCGACTAGTGTGTTCTGAAGCCTCGGCGGCTGAAGAGAGGCGGTCAAAGGGGTCGAGTATGAACTCCGTCTACCTCCCTGGTCGAAACCAGAGAATACACTACGACAATGAAGAAGACGTGCTGCTATTGCGGTTCGGAGACGGCGGTGCCCTGACAGATCTTAGCCATGGAGTTTTATTTGGCGAATATGAGGCGTCGGGAGTGAACAACTTGACCGAGGTGCTCGAAGGGCCGTGGAGCGCCGAGATAGCGGAGAGGTTGCGGGATGCGCGACTCATCGCCTTGGATATTGCGGAGACGTGGACGCCAGCAACGGTTGGGGCGGTAATGTTTGAAGAGGTGGCGTATCTGGCGTGTTGTATACAACGGAGACTCCGAGTGCTGTACTTGGTTGACCACTGCCATGGCCGATGTACCCGGTGCAAGAAGCAGGATATCACAAGACCTCAGCTCCAGACCCGCGGCGAACTGTATGACCAGCTTCACAGCCGAGACAAAGACACGGCTAGATCGCGAGTAGCGGACGTGATCCATGGCGTGGGGAAGACGTATCGGGAGGTCTTTGATTTGGAGGGCATGGGTTGGTCGGACGAGCACCCGATCTACGTGTTTGCGAGGGTAATGGATGAGATGATTAGAGGCCAGCAGGCTGACGCGAAAACGCAAGACTTTGAAGGAATCAGGGTGTTGCTGGTGGAAGACGATGAGTTGGAGGGCGTGGACAACACGACAATGATGGACTGTTATCCGGACGGCCGTCCAGAGGTCGCCAATGAGGAAATGAGCATGAGCCTGCTGTAGTCGAGCTAGCAATGCGGGTGAGAACAAGAGACCTTTTGGGCATGAGATGGGCGAGCTAAGCTGACTGACGAAGGGGCACTTATTCCAGCTGGGCCAAATTGTTGGGTCGGAGCGGCTGACGTGGGGCAACGAGAAGCTGATTTCGTCGAAACGAGATATGCCGAAACGACTGGGAGGATGCGAGCTAGGGGAGGGAGACCTTGCATTACTATACTCTCTGAAAGAAGAGACGTTATTGACAACAATGTGGCCGCCGTAAACATTGACAAAACGTGCTGAAGCCCACCAGTTTTTCTCTACTGGGAATACCTTTTGACGCCATACTATGCATATACCACACAAGCTCAAAACCACACATACACGTATAATTACCTCGCTAGAAACTGTGTGATGGTCAGCAACGTGCTTCAGAACATGGAACGATAACAGAGAAGGTCAGACTTGCCGTATCTCATAGGAACCCGCTCTCGTCATGTATCGCACCCACTTGACGCTCGAGTAGTTGCTCTTTTCAAACACCTTGAGATATCTAACCAAGAGGCCTGAACTGGTAAACATCAACAAGCTAAAGTTGAGGCTCAGGGGCGGCCGCGACCACGCGCGCTGGTTCGTCATGCTCGTCAAGATGGCCTCAGCACTCAACACAAACTCGCTCTGTCCCGTAAACCGCCCAATTTTCCACACAATGTTGTTCTCGCTGGGCTCGTACTTGGCCTTGCCCTGGGTGCACCGTTCCGTGATCTTAGCAGTGTTGAGCGGTGTAGGGATGCGGACGACGACGTTGGTGGCGAAGAGCTTTGCGCCAAAGTTTGCCTTGATGCCGATGCTGTATTCAACCTTTGTGCGGCCAACTTCGTTGACGATGGCGTGGATCTTGAAGGGGAGGTTGACGTTCTCGGTGGCGCGGTAGCGCATGAGCTCGAACTCGCCGTCGGGTGGGACGAAGGAGATGATGCGGTCGCTGTCGAACTTGCCCAGCTTGACGCACTGGTGGAACTGGCAGTCTTCGAGGGTAACGCTGCCGGCGGCGGCCTTGGTGGCCTTTGTTCCCATTCTGTTTCCGCTCGGTAGACTCAAAAGCCCGTCGTTATCGAGGAGTAGCCGGTCGTTGAGGCCGAACTTGCACTCTGGGGTACCGGAGAGGTAGGCGCGCATGACGATCTGACCGGTGACGTCGGCACGGAGGACTGCTCCCGTGGCAGACATGAGGAGGTTGACGTCTTCGATCACGTCGACAAAGGCCTCGTTCTTTCTGTACTTAACATCTGCTTTGCGCCACGAGAGCGCGCCTGTGGCCTGCATTGTAATCTTGGCCGAGTCCTCGGCGGCTCGTTCTGACTTGACGCCTTCGGTCGTGATGTACATCTTGAGGGTGTCGGTTTCGGTGTTTTGAGGGTAGCCAAAGTCAATGATCTCTGGAAGGTAGGTGTTAGAAGAGAAGACCAATGACACCGCCCCTTGAGCTGGTGTGGCACGTACCGTCGAGCAGCTCATAGACAAGCACGAAGTTGTTCTTGACAGCCTCCTCATCAAACTTTCCAAAGTAGCCCCGTCCCAACGCAATTAAGCGATAGAGGAACTCAAAGACCAGCGCAGCGTTCGCATTGCTCTTGGTAATAGCAACGAGGTAAATGTTCTCATGCTTCACGTGGCTGAAGGTGGTGCTCCCGAGGGTCAAGATGGGGGACCGGACTTGCGAGTTGGAGATCACCTGAATCCGGAAGACGTCGGCAAGTCTGGGCCTGCAATCGTTGCGAAAGGCGCGGAAGATGAGGTTCTCGCCCTTTTGGTTGAAGATGAGGATTCCGGATAACATCGTGGCGGATCACAGGGGTGTGGGCGCGCGCGAGGGGAGCGACCACTGGGGATTGACGGGCGGACAGGGAACTCGGAAGGGCGCGTGGTGTTGAACAAGACTAGAGCTGGTGGGATGGGTTTGTTGGTGATTCTCGAGGCACAGGATCGCGGGCGGGACACGGCGGGGACAGCGGCGGGAACTGGCTCGGTCAGCCGTCAGGGGAGCTTCCACTTTGCGATTTGGTCGAAGGGGGGACGGTTTCGGGACCGGCGGGAAATTCTGCCAGGCACCAAAAGGGTCCGGGCGGTGAGCCTCGCGGTGGAACGGCGCTCCGTGCGGTGTGGGGCATTATGGTCCATGCTTCTTTTCTTAGGTAATCAGTCTGGAGCTGACTTACGTGATCCACTCACGTGCGGACTCACGTCTTGACGTGTAACGGCCGGACAGAGAGCTCCGCTATGCTTTGTCTTATGTAATCACAGTGTCTAAGCACAGTGCTAACTCGGCTTGACACCTCTCCCCGGTCGTCTTCCTCCTCTTACACCACCACCACCACCAACAACACCACGAATCTCCTCTTTCCAAGACAACAAAGTACGATCCTTAGTAACAGCATGCCTGCCTCAACTTCTTAAAATGTGATACGGATGGACTTCGATATTGAGCACGGGGCCGTGTGTCCGAAAGATGCGCGTCGGTACCATGAACCCTTTGCATCTCACCACCGAGCGTCTGCCTCGACATGCTCCAGTCACCACCCACTAACTACAAAGCTGAAGGTACACGACTTCCGGTTAGCGAACTCTCCTCGAGTCACTCTTTTTGATACCAGCGGCTTGCAATTTTGTGGATGCTCTTAAGCGAAGCTTCTTTCAACAGCCATCAATTGCTACTGCGATAATGACACGAGGTTGTTGGACGTCAAGACTCGACGAAACGTCAATTTGGATCGCTCCTGCAGGCCTGGGAACCCAAGATTGATGGCCGATGGTTATTATGTAGGCAATCATTTTTGATTGCTTCCGCTCTTGACACTCATTGACCTCATTAACACCAGACAGGTCCGAGTACCACGGCACCACCATCGACGCGGCTCACCACCACACAAACCCCAATTTCTCCAACTCGCTTGTCGTCCCTTGCGTCTTGCCTCATGCCTCTGAGTGCGGCTCCGACTGCTCGCCACGCTTGTTTCTCTCTTCACTGATGGTACCTGTCTCTGTGCCTGGAGCCAATCTACTTTCGCTTCGGCTTTCGATCCGCCAACTTCGCATCCCGTGACTGGCTACCTCTGTCTTTTACATACGCTTTGCGACACGTTCGCAATGCAGTCCTCCGTCTTTAATTTAAACGGCATAGGCACATCATTCCTGCTCAGCGCTATCTCGGGCAACGAAGCCGCTTTTCCAATCGAGAGTTTGCTGGATTGTAACTTGACCGGAACGATTCAAAGAGCTTTCCGACCCCTCATGGCACCCTCTTCCATGGTCCCCACATCCATCACGCCCCCATGACCAACGCGCTCTTCCCTTCGTGGCTAATATGGAGCGTCGCCTCCGAGATGACTTACACTCCGTTACATCCAACCCGCGCTTTGCTCACACCTTGGTTGGCGGACTCTCCTCCTCGACGCCATTGAATATCGACGGCGGCCGTGGCTTGTTGCAACCGCCAGCAGTCCATGGCTTCATGCCCAGCTTTAGGGTTCTGGTCCAGCATGCCGTCAACCAGGCGATTCCACGGTTCGAGACCCGTACTTCGGATGACTCTTCCACAACCCCATAGACCCATGGTAAACCCATGGTAACGATGGCTCTCTCGGCTTGGTCTTCTTCCTCAACGCTTTTCTCAAAGGAGTAATCGAGCTCAAGATGCCGCAGCTTCACTCCGAGATCGTGGGGCAATGTCTCTCTCCCGCCGGCAGCCCAGAATAGGCCCAGGACACATCCATCCCGCCGTTCCGAAAAGCCAAGCGGTATGTCCAAGAGATCTGACTCCTCAACTAGGGTTGACAACATGATAAAAGGACCATCTCCCAGATCGTTCATCAAAAACTCCAGAGTTGCAACACACGGACATCATCCTCCCTCGAGTCGAGCCAACATCACACAGAACCGAAGCAACAATGGCTGCTCGTGCTTTCCTCACTGCTGCCCTCCTGGGCACTGCTGCTCTTGCCGTTCCTATCGAGGAGAGGCAATCTTGCGGAGCCGTTTGGTAAGTAGGACATGCAGCTTGAACGAGGAGAGAATCTGACTGGCGACTAGGGCACAATGCGGTGGCCAAGGTTTCACCGGCCCTACGTGCTGTGCTTCTGGAAGCACCTGCGTCGTCAACAATGCCTACTACAGCCAGTGTTTGCCCGGCAGCGCCTCGGCCTCCAGCTCTGCTGCCGCTTCATCGACTGTCCGCTCCAGCTCTTCAGCGGTCGTCAGCCCTTCCCGAACCTCGACAACCGCCGGGGCCGGCACCACTACTACGCGGGCCGGAACTGCCACCACTAGCGCTCCCGCGGTCACCGGCGGTGCGACCTACACGGGCAACCCCTTTGCCGGCGTCAACCTCTGGGCCAACTCATACTATGCCTCTGAGATTACGACCTTGGCCATCCCGTCCCTGAGCCCTGCTCTGCAGACGGCGGCTGCTGCCGTTGCCAAGGTCCCGACCTTCATGTGGATGTAAGTTATCTATGCTACGTACGTCGGTGTTGAAGGCCTCCGTTTGCTGACACCGTCAAGGGACACTCGCGCCAAGATTCCCTTGGTTGACTCCACTCTGGCCGATATTCGCAAGGCCAACGCCGCTGGCGGCAACTACGCCGGCCAGTTTGTCGTCTACGATCTTCCCGACCGCGACTGCGCTGCTGCTGCCTCCAACGGCGAGTACGCCATCGCTGACGGTGGTGTTGCCAAGTATAAGGAGTACATTGACGCTATCCGCACTATGATCCTCAAGTACTCTGACATTCGCATCCTCCTGGTCATCGGTAAATACCTTATCTCGAACCCATCAACGTCTCCGTCTCCTAACTTTTCAATCCAGAGCCCGATTCCCTGGCCAACTTGGTCACCAACCTCAACGTTGCCAAGTGCTCCGGTGCCCAGGCCGCCTACCTCGAGTGCACCAACTATGCTGTCACTCAGCTCAACCTGCCCAATGTCGCCATGTACCTTGACGGCGGCCACGCGGGCTGGCTAGGAGTGAGTTTCCACCGCGCCACGCTCCATACATGTTCTTCTGATCTAACATACTTCTTCAGTGGGCTGCAAACTTGGGACCCGCCGCGAACATGTACGCCAAGGTCTACAAAGATGCCGGCAGCCCCAAGGCTCTCCGTGGAATCGTGACCAACGTGGCCAACTACAACGCATGGAGCGTTAGCTCCCCGCCTTCCTACACCTCAGGTAAGTAGTACCCGTCCAGGATTCCAACGTTTCCGTACCTGACTGGTCTAGGCAACTCCAACTACGATGAGAAGCACTACGTCGAGGCTCTCCAGCCCCTCCTCGCTGCTCAGGGATGGGACGCTCACTTCATCGTTGACCAAGGCCGCTCTGGTAAGCAGCCCACTGGCCAGTTGGCTTGGGGTGACTGGTGCAATGCCATCGGCACCGGCTTTGGCCTTCGTCCCTCCACCAACACAGGCTCGTCACTTGTTGATTCCTTTGTCTGGGTGAAGCCTGGTGGCGAGAGTGACGGCACTTCACTCACTACCGCCGCTCGTTACGACTACAACTGCGGCAAGGAGGACGCTCTGAAGCCCGCTCCCGAGGCTGGAACATGGTTCCAGGCTTACTTCGAGCAGCTCCTCGTAAACGCCAACCCAGCCTTCTAAGTGCTATTCACTTTCTTCTGCATATATGGCCCAAGCCTCGAGACGTTGCGTTCATATTATCTTCGTGTACATATTTAACCTACCTTGAAGATGAATCTTATACAAAATGTCGAATCCACTTGCACTCCCTGCTCCGTGCTGCTCGGGTAGTCCTTCGTCAACCCGGAAGGACTATGCTTGGTGAGTGGGTCAATCACCGACCATAGAGAAGAAAGCATCAGAACGCTGTGCCGGTGTCTTTTGACCCATCTAGGTCCCGAAGTCTAGGACCGAACCCTGGGTACCTGATCTGGTCACAAACTCAGTTGGCCAAATGCTGCTTAACATAAAAATCCCGCGCCTGAGTGCTTCCCTTCCCTCCCCTTCCCTTCTCTTCTCTTGTGATCCTTTCATGATACCTCGATGCAACTAATTTCCTCTGAACTTACCCCCGGCTCTCGATTACGCAGGCCGTCAAGCCTGTAGAGATGTGGATAGCCCTTCTCTTCACCCTCTTCTTTACAGTTACACTTATTTGGATGTTGTATCGCATTTCTTGGCCTCTCAAGGCCCTCCGCAAGCGTCACAAGGAGAAGAAATCTGCAACGAAGGGAAACATTCCGCTAGCCCTCTCACCGGATTCCGATGTACAAGTCAAGACACAGGATACGACTCTCGGCGGCCAAGAAGCCCAGCAACCCAGCGATACTAGTCCTCCAGAAGCGGGCAGCACGAACGAAACGGATAATTCGACCCCATCTTCTGGGGTCGGTAAGCCGTCAATACGGTCTAAAATCCTAATGACGATCAAGAAAAGTGTGAAAGGAAAGGGGAAGAGCAGTGTAGTGCCCTTGGATCCTCGATCTCCTCCCTTTCAACCCTTGACCTTTAACGCAGGCATGAGGCCTTCATGGTTAGACCCAGGAGATGATACAAGCGTGGCAGACAACAACTCTTACTCTGCCCGTCTACCGGGCATGCCAGTTGATGGAACCGCCGTCTCGGGCTCTTCAAAGCGAGATATGTGGCAAACCCCATACTACCATAAAAATAACGAAATGCCAACTCAATGGGTGACACCTCAACCTTATGATCCTACTGCTGTTCGGGCATATCAACACACTCCGGAGGCGCTTGCAAAGGCGCTTGCTCCCGACCACAGCACCCCCCTGGACAGGCTTCGAAGGCCGTTACCAACACCCCTGTTCTCGCCGTATGTACCTTCAACCTTGCTTAGACCTTCCGACAACGACCAACCAAGCGTTTCGATAATCCAGGAATTTTCGTCTCCTAATCCGTCATGCCGAGAAGAGGAAGAAGTCCTTCGACGCTTCATTAGGTTTGCGACGGGCCGTAGATGTCCAAGATGCAAGCGTGGCGTCGCAATCGAAAGCAGCACCATCTTCCAGCACGCAAGTGACATTCTTGTAGATCGAAAGTCCATCGCCCTGGGCAGCCACTATGCCAGATGCTCTTGCGGAATCTCATACTGTTTCGGCTGCTCCCGAATCGGGGACAATTTGAGGACGCCATTCGCAAGTTCCAAGTCAACCAAATGGTGCTGCCTCCCGGGTCGACTCTTCCACATCTTTGCCCTCCTCTGCGGTCCGATCGCCCACACTGCGAACCCACAGGTCTCCATCCTCCAAGACTCCCAAGTGGACTTGATCGAGAAGCCCCTCGAAGCTGAAAAAAAGCCCGGGTCGAGGTTAAAGAGCTTCTTCAAGACCAGCGATGACCAAGGTACATCGAAAGGAACGGGCTATGCGACGGGTAAGATCGACGGAAAGAAAGAGAAGCCCAATGTGCTTGCCTATATTCGCCGCGAGGACCTCGAAAATAGTATGGATCGGCTCCCCAGGCTTCTTGCCGCGCTGTCAATAGCATGGCCTTCAACTTCCATGTCCTCTCCGTTTGATCGGAATCCTCCCCCTTTGTTGATGGTCATGGCTCGCCGAAGCCCGCTGATGGTCAGGATGGCAGAGCTTCTCCGAGACGACAGCATGCAAGAGATCATGCGACAAGGAATTCCGTACCACGCCCTCTTCGGCTTCCTCCATGTGCTCTCAGCGCACCCTGCCACGGCCCCGCTGGTCTGTGATGTTCGAATCAGCTACCCCCTCGCCCGCACTTTACTCCCGGTCTGCTTCGGATATGGCCCTCTCACTATGCCAGACAAGCCGTCGAGCTCCAGTAACCATGGGAAGGGGAAGGGAAAAGCGGTGGAGCTTGGCGAGAAGCAGGAACAGCCTCAAGAGACGCTCAAGTCCTTAGTGAGTCTACTTTTTGCCTTGAGAGTTCAGGCGGAATCGGTGAAGCGACTCTACAAACCCACTCCCGGGGGTCTTTCCCAGACGATAGTCATGTGCGATCGTATCTGCGAGATCTCCCAGCAACTCGAAGGAGATGACCCCAGGAAAGACAACAGGGAAGTGACTGTTGACGAAGGAAGTGCTCCTCCCTCCCTGACTTACTCACAATCGACTGTTTCGTCAGTGGCAGAGCCACCCCCCGTTCCCGACGACAAGGAGGAGAAACTCACAGCCGCCCGACAATGGCTCAGCGAGAACAAGGTACAGGAAATGGATTCCGAAAGATGGCGAAGCGACTTCCAGATTCCCATCCCAGACTCCGAAACCACCGTCCCCCGCCGTATGAAGAAGCTTGTGATGGAACTCTCCATGCTACGTACCACGCTCCCCGACGGCATCTTTGTTCGGCACGATGACACGCGGTTGGACGCTATGAAGGTTCTCATTGTCGGACCGGAAGGCACGCCGTATGAGAATGGTCTCTTCGAGTTTGATCTGTTCTGCCCTCTCGATTATCCGGAGAGGCCACCCAAGATGGTTTTTAGAACGACGCATAGCCGTCGAAAGTTCAACCCTAACCTGTACTCAAATGGCCAAGGTATAAAAGTCCTCCTTGATTTCCCACTTGCATTACCATATACCATCACTAACTTTTTGCTAACCTTTTGCTAACAGTCTGCTTCTCCCTCCTCGGCACCTGGACAGGCAGCGCCACCGAAAACTGGGATCCCAAAAAGTCCACCCTCCTCCAGCTCCTCGTCTCCATCCAAGCCATGATCTTCAGCCCGGACCCGGTCTGGAACGAACCCAACCAGACGTTCTCCCCGGCAGCCTCGCTGGTATACAAGACGGAGATGCGCGCCGACACCCTCGTCTACGCCATGAGCCACTGGCTCCACCTGCACAGAAACGCCAACCCGGCTGCCGAGTATAACCCGTGGTTCGAGGTCGTTGGCCGCCATTTTGAGGTGAATTGGCAACGGATCCTCGAGACGGCTGAGATATGGGCAGCGGAGGACCCGGGAAGTCAGCGCGAGGCCGAGAATGAGGTGGGCATGATTATGAGAGAGAGACGCTCCAAGGAGAGATTCCCCTGCGGGATCCGGACGCTAAAGGGATACTTTGCCGAGTGGGCTACTTCCGAGGAGGAGTTGGCTCTCGTGAGGCTTAGTCCCGAGGAAGATGGCCCAATCTATGCGCCCGTGGGAGTGCCCTCGGAAAATAGGTTAGATTTAGGCTTTGACATGTCTCCGCCCATGTCTGACGCCGACGGCGACGACGAATTTGATGGAGAGATGTATCTACCACCGGCGAATAGCATATCCAATGTACCGCCACCAGTATCTCACCCTCCGCCGGAGTTTCACCCTTTCCTACCTTATATTCCTTAACCTCCGTTCAATAGTCGCGGCTTCGATTCGTGTCTTCCATGTTCGCGAAGTTGTTTGGTCGGGCATAGAGATAATTTGGTGGCAACGAGGAGAGGCTGAGCGACGGTTGAATTATAATCGTTACCAAGGTCAAGTTCGGAACCGGCCAGTAACGCAGGGGACTCAGTAGAGGAAACTGTCAAACGCAGGCTCTTTGTAGCCTTTAGTATGTGTCGTATTGAGCACTGTCAAATAATACATTATACCTTATACTAGATATGTGAAGCAGGGTAGCGTGAATCAAAGACCAGATGTGCCCGACGAGCTAGCGAAGATAACAAGGCCCGAATTCATCAGAATGATCCGATTGAGGGGGATTGATTTGGAGGGAGTTGTATGCCCACAAGCGAATTTGTTTCGAACTAACAACAAACTTGTTGATGCTCACCAGATACGACACAGCGTCGCAAGCAAACACGGCTGACATGCGGCTGGAGATGTTGGCTGCAGGGGTCCATCGAGGCCAGTGTCTGTGTCCTCGAGGCGATGATACGCCGCAAAGTGTGGCACTTGTCAAGGAGATGATGATTGCGATTGCTGTCCGTACTCCGGACATAGGTCGAGCTCATTCTTTGGTGATGAATCAATGTCGGACATGGAGACTGGTAGCTTGTTGTCGACTCTGATTACTTACCAACGTTTGAATCCATCAGTATAATTAGCAGAAATTTCGTCGTCTCTCGAAGCTGCTCGCCGACCCGAGCTTCATCCCGAACAAGCGTCGACTGTGGATAGGGCTCCCAAGATTCTGTAACCAGACTGCGGGATACCACGTGGAGGAGGGGACTCGGACCGTCTGAGTGGGTGGCCGTTTGTCCCAGCTTCCCAGCTCGTACGGTGTGCAGTGGTGGTTGCCCCAGTCAAATATTTGGAGCAACTTGAAGCTCCAGCGATGCCATGACTCGAGTCTCTAGTACTCGCTCTGGACCCGTTAGGCAAGCCGCATGCATACAGCCTACCGAGTCGAAGAAACCACAAAGCTTCGTGCAGGTATAGTGTACGGTATAAGCATGAAGTCAAATGGGAGCCATGGGACGGGATTGTTCGGAAACGACCTTGATTGGAACCAGTATGCTTAGTGAAACCCGACAGTGGAAACCTTCATTCAACCAGGCCGGCCTGGCAGATTGTAATGTCCGAGAAAGCTCTACGGCGGCACGGCCGAATGATGGGGAGATGAGGGCTGGTTGGCAGGATCTCAAAGGTCAGTCCTAGGGACTGATTCATGAAAAGTCTGTTGGGTGACTTTTGCGATTCGTTGGAAACGTATTTTCGAGATAAAGCTTAAGAAAGACCAAGATATTGCAAAGTCAAATCCTCCACGGCAGGCAACAGTCGACGACGGCAGCGATATGGTTGGCCACATTGTCGATAGGAACGTGTCGTCCGTTGAAAATCCATGTGGTCCACGAGTTCCAGGTCAAGTTTAGCGGCCAGGTATGGGTGCGTCTGCCACGTGCGGTGCATGCAGCAGCAAGGTACAAGTCGATGGAGGACGGGGGATTGAGGGGAAACAGCCATTGGCGTGTTTGGTCAGGCCAGAGTCGCATCGAAAGTGGCCTGAGAAGTTGAGTCTAGCGGTGATGATGGCGCGAGAGGGTGGCCAACATGAAGACGATAGGCTCGATAGCCCATCTGTATTTCTGAGACGAGCCTCGGGTGCGTGCATCTCAGACAATGATTGCCATTCCCGGGCAGTAGGCTGGTCGAGAAGCACGAGAGTATCATGGAGAACTGCCGGAGGTGGCTGGTCTCGCAAGATGCCGATCGACAGGATTCAAGTTTAACAAGCGTAATCGCTATGATTTGACCGTTTTCAATCAGGCCTTGTGGTCATGGAGCTCGTCGGTCCCGAAGCCAAGCCACCATGAGCGCCATATCCAAGATAGAGACCCCGCTTGTGAGGAGCTAAGCTTGGTGCCCGAAGGCGCTGACGTTGGCGGCACTAATACGGTGTCACACTGTCGACGGAGCCGGGAGGATTACTGTTCAATTTGTTTATAGGTATCCGTATCCTACGAACTTGTCGCCCGAAGGGGCCCGAGGATGATGATATGATGGGACTTTGACGGGGGTTCTCAGGGTCTTCGGGCCTGTCCGGGCCAAGACGATCTGCATTGACTTCAAACACGAAAGTGGACGATGGCGAGGAGGAATTTAGGAACGACTAGGCCGAATCGAAAAACAATCGCAACACCAAAAGCCGCTGGCTGTTTGACAGTGGCCGAGACAGGACAGGCTGGCTGGTGGTTGGCTGAGCCTACACGTACGGCCGGCGGTGTCAGTCAGTGGACGTCAGTTCGTGCGATTGCGCCAGTAGCTCCAAGCCAAATTCTCGCAATTTAAATCATGATCCAACTTTGTTGGTGAGAGAAAGTTGTTGCTTAGTCCTGTCACTAGACGGATGCGATGCCGATTTCGTGCCCCAAGGACTCTAGGCGTAGGTAGGCCATTCGGGGCCCGATTTGAGGGGGAGACCCGAACTCAATTGATGTAATAAGCGACGCGTGGAATTGGCGATGCGTTCCTGGACAAGTGTCTTTGAGGTGCCCAAGTGCCTTTTAATGGTGAGGTCAAGTGGGTGTGAGGCCAAAGGGGCAGCCAAGGCGGAGTCGAGTCTGGAGAGTGCAGGATCGGTTTGCCTGTTGCAGGTTTAATGGTTATTCGGAGCGGCTCTCGGGCCCCTTGGGACGTTCTTGAAAAGGTTGGGAATGGATGTTGCTTGCAATGCGAAGAGAGGATGGGACGGACGGTCGGTACTTGTTGCTGGGTGGTTGTTCACGGTTGGACCGCGACTGTTAGACGCGTGGTGATCGGCTCGAGTGGGCAGCGTTTTGCCGTTTGGTTTCTCGTTCGAAGTCGGTAGTCACGGCCCCTGTGCATCTGGCCCCTTTCCCTGCAGACCCAAGTTGATCATATTCGCCTGAGCGGCGCCTCTCGCAAGTCTCCCTGTGCGCTGGTGTATTGTGACTCGGTATCCCTGTGGGGATTCCACGGCTTCGTGGGCTGAACGAGACTCGTCCGTTGGCCAGCAGGATGCTTACAGGTTGAGGAGGCGAGGGAGTTTGGCAAGGCGGGTAGAGCGATGGTTTGATAAAGAATGGAACGCATTGAAGGTGGAAGACTTGAAGGCGGCGGCGAGGGCGGCTGGTTCTGGCAAGCGACTTGACTGCATTCTGTCGGGGTTTCTTTGATTGGAACACATGTTTTTCAGCTGTTGGCCTGCAGGTCGACGCATGCGGTCGAAAAGAGAGGAGCCTGGAGAGGAGGGACGGAGGCGACGGCGGCGACGACGATGACAGCCCAAGGACCAAGGCAAGGCGAGGCCAAGGATCCAGACAATGGGCGATTTTTCTTCGGAATAATGCAGAGGTTGAACAGGGAAGCCCTGAACAGTCTGTGCCGTGCCGACGCCGGGTTGGCCCTGAAGGGAAGCGGGATGTTTTTGTACTGCATGGGATGTGGGATTGAGATTTCCCCCGATGCTATCTGTCTGGTGGAATTCAAGGTTTGTGGGCGAGATGGAAGAAACAAGACATCCGACGTGAAAAGGAGGGACGGTAACATTGCAGTAGATGCCACGGAGGCCACGGAGACGGGAGAGGAAAGTGCAACATTTTAGGTTGAAGTTGGTGTGTCATGATGAGGGAAGGAACCTCGCCTGGGCCTGCCATGGTTTACCCATCTCCCGGTCATGTCATTCATTGTTCGTGTTGTGCGAGTGAGAGTGAGACTGAGATCAAGAATGAGACTCAGAGTGAGCTGAGACACGCCTCAACTGCTCTGTACTACATGAACAGTTAAAGAAGGATGCAACGAGTTATTCCATCTACCGGTACCGGTATTCTTCTTGCCACGCCTATCCGCACACTTGCATTTCAATGTGTATCTGTTTGTATCGAGGTAATCACTTTGTAGAATTAGATGACCAGAGCACCAAGCTATTCGCAGGTCCAACCTGGTCGACTGATTTCGGTACGCTGGGAACACGGCACTCTCTGATATGTGTTGTCTTATGCACAGCTCAAAACCTCTGACTTTTCGGCGGCCCGTGTAGACATGATTCGGAAGATGCCATGAAGGGGTGTCCCGGAGAGCGTCTTGGATCTTGGAAAGAGTCGTTGAGAATAGACCACGGATATACTACCTATCTAGTAGATGAGTGCCGCAATAGAACTATGACCGAAGGTGCAGCGCTTATTGTGATACGATGCGATGTGATGTGATGCTCTCATGCCCATCTATCTATGTTCTGTATCCGTACTCTCGCATCTGTCTGCACCTCTCTCGCAGACTTGCAGTCGCGGTGCACGTCTCACGTTGTTGATCGGGCAAAACGGCCATGAGAGACATGGATTGGCCCTGCTGTCAGGCTCACTCAACACCCCTCGTCGTGCCTGAGAGTGGGCGAATGCATGAGAGAGGCCAATGTTCATTCGTTGGTGAAGGAGGGACGACCCCCTGTCGCTCACTACCCTCCTGATGACCTGATCCCTGTTCTGCACATGGCTGCTTCCTCCTTTCTGCTTAGCCCATCTCAAGTGACAGTAGCGCAGGCCCTCCTCCTGCAGGTGCAAGTCGGAAGTCCAGCATTCTTTCCTTCAGTACCTACTACGTATTCGTGGACCGTACGTACCTATCTATCTATTTGTACCTACCTAGACCATTTGGCAGTCACAAGTGTTATTCTCCTTCCTACCATTGATCTTGACTTCCTGCCGTGCTTTCCACTTAATCGCTTTGAATTGAAGGCGCCCCTTCTCAAATAGGCCTTGCCTCCCTCTCTTGACCCCCTTTCCAAGGTACCTGTGTCATGTACCATCTCCGTGCCTGCCTCTACCGTACCTTATCAACCTGACATCCGACGATCATCACCTCGAATTATTGCGCACCTGAAGTCTCAGAGGGAAGGTGCAGGGAGTACGTATCTACTTGCCGTGCTTTCCAGGTGCCGGGCACTGAGCCTGGTTGGGGATGAACAGTCAGGCCAGGAGAGAAAGAGGTACCTACGGCTAGTTCTAGTTACTGAGAGGTGAGAGGCAAGGAGAGAAAGTGTGCCTGGCCTGGCCTGGCCCGCCTGCCCGCCTTCTCCAGGTGGCCTTGCTTAGCGCGTCCCAGGCTCCGTCCACTCCCGGCCTCCGTCTCTCAGTCCAGTCCCAAACCCCCAGGTCGGGCAGGCGCACTACCGTAGGTACTCCGTACAGGTGAAGACGTGGAAAGTGCAAAGGGCAGCAAGAAAAAAAGAAGAGCAGGCGCAGATCCACAGCAGTGTGCCTGCCTGATATTATTTCCGTGCTCCCCTCGCTCGCTCGCTCCTGCCGCGACTTCCCAATCTGCATCTGGACCCGTCCTCCGTCCTCCGTTCTCCTCTTCGTCTTCCCTCCTCCCAATTAACCCAGTCCCTCCTCCGTCATCAATCAACCACTTGCTCCCTTTTCTCTGCTTTTTTTCTGGACCACCGCAAGTGTTCAACGTCCACGATACTACCTCAAGGCTCAATCCCCCCGGTGCAGACCCATCGATCGTCCCCCCTCGACCGACAAGTTCGCCTCCATCTCGCCTCCGTGTAGACAACTTCGCTCCTCTCGAGACACCAACCCGCCAACCAAGGACCTAGCACAAAGCCTGCAGGTCCCTGATTTTCCGCAATCTTGCTCTTCCAGTGACCTCACAGAGCTCGCCAAACTTGACTTGCGACCGCTGTTCCATTCAATCTTTTGACGCCAACGGTCCAAATCCACACGCGCCCACACGCACACCCCCGAAACGAACGGAGAAGGCACCAAGATACGACCTGAAGTCGCTCACGTCCGCCTTCACATTCACGGTTCACGGCCACGTCCACCGGAGACCGCTCCCTTCCTACCGCACCCACTGCCGCCGCCGCTACCGCTGCCTCTGCCGCAAAGAGCACCGTGTCCAGCAGCAATCCTGCACCTCACTGCAATCATCCCAATCTGCCAAAATCCAATCCAGTGCCAATTCCCTTTCGCCCTGTTCGGCTCACCTGCTTGCCTGGTCCGACAGTCGTGAAGCAAGCCCCGGCCTGTGGAAACTCGAACCATAGTTGAGACTGGACGGCCACATCGACACGAACCTTTTTTACGCAGGGATCTCGTCAAACCCAAAAAAAAAAAAAAAATCAACACAATGCCTACCTCGCTCGATTCTTCTCGTCCCATCATGGCGCCCTCTGTACGTTTGTTCCTCTCCTGATGTTGCCTTTTTTCGCCCTGACTGCCCTACCTGCATCTGTCTTGCGTCTGTTCTCACCTGCTTCGCCTCGCTCGCAACCGCCCCTTTGCCCTTTTTGCACTTGGACGCCGCAAATCCCGGTCCTCCCCCCCCCCCCAAGCTACCCACCTACCCGATCTTGTTTGCCTTTTGACCCGTTCCTGTCCAATCCTATTACTACCTACCTCTCGCCGACCCTCTTTCATTCACTTGAATCCTCTATCTGTACCGTCTTCCTCAACCAAAGATCAAAATGACCGCCGTACTAATAGAAACTCCCCCCAAGGTGCGTACCTCTGTGCGATACAGCACGTATAGCATGGCGCCTTCATTTGCCAACACCATTCAGACAAACGATTCGGCTCACGCCGAGATCACCGACATCGCTGTCGGCCTCGACCGTATGGAGAACAAGGCCCTCAGCTCCCAAAGAGTTACTCTGAGCGAGGAGAAGAGCGCAAACCTGAGCAAGCTAGCTCTCGGTGCCAAGTTGGAACGCGCGCTGGACAGGAGAATGAGCAGTCAGGATGCCGTCATGCGTCCGCGCGGCAAGACCTTGAACGAGAAGCCTGCTCAGGCTGCGTAGGAGACTGTCGAGCAACCTTTGACCTCGAAAAAATGGCCGTGGCAGGCCATGTTTACCGCACAACCCAAACAAACACAACAATCGGAACCAGACCGTCACGGGCCATCTGCCACACGAACACGGAACGACAGGATTGGGATTCGCACCTGATGCTGTCCGGCTAGACAGCTCGCTGTAGTCGCGGGCTCCGTCGTACAACATTGCCCGCGACGAGACGTGGCAGACGATACACCCTGAGTGGACATACAGAGGGACAATGGATATGGGATTTGGACTGAGACTTGGGAATGGGGCCATCGTGGAAACAAACAAGTTGTGAAGAGTGATTTTGGTTTGTTGGGATATCCAGAGGATGACTGGAGCGCTAAAGACGCAATGACGGCATCCCATGCATAGTGTTTAAATGGTTTATTGCGATGCTCCGGCTGCGTTACATATTTCCTACTCCGAGAGGCATTACTCGCTGAGTCTATTGCACAGACTTGGGATCATGGCATAGGGGTTTCCTTGACGAAACTTGGAGGCATAGGTAATGGTACCTATGGTATACTAGAAATGCTCAATAACCCGATCCACCCAACTTATTGTCGTCTGATTTCCACACTGATATGCTTACTCGACACGAGTGTCGCAAGTGATTGATGCCGCATTGTTGGGAAAGTTTGTAGTGGCTAATGACAAACAAGCCTGTATCAAAGTACAAGACAACCTGCGCCAAAGAACAATCACGAATGCCTAGGGAGTCTTCAAGCCGCCATACCATTGCGTCTACCTGGGCTTTCCATCTCCATGCGCGAGGCGGCTCTCTCATGGGTATTATGCGCTGCCAAAACAGAGGCCCGAGACTGCTTGGCCAGGTTTTTGGCCCCTCACTCCTCCATGACCCGTTCTAGAACCACACGCTGCCTTATCCATATATCTGTGTATGAGCATCCTTGGGTGCTTCAAGTGGAATGACTCTGTACTTCCTCGGCGCTCGTATAGAACATGATCCTCCTTTTCGATAAAAATCGTACGCCTTTCTCAGACTTACGCCTTCTCCAAACGGGCCTCAATCTCCTTGTACTGCGCAACGAGCTCGCCCTCCTCGCCCTCATACTCGAGAGCCTTGCCAACCCACTCCCTCGCCTCCTCCAATCTGCCCATCTCCATCAGACACTTTCCGCGGCGCCACCACGCCTTTGCGTTGCCGACCTTGCGCGCCTCGACACTGGCCTCGGCGTCGACGGAGCCCTCTGCCCACTGCTGCAGCGCCATGTGCGCCTGCGCCCTGTTGGCGTACAGACCCGAGACCTCCTCGCGGACGAGCTGGGAGGGTTCCCAGAGCGGACGGGTGAGGGCCATTTGCAGGCCGAGGGTGTAGAACTTGATGGCGTCACCGTACTTCTTCTTGTGGAACTCTGCATTGCCGCTGTCGCGGAGCTTGGCGACTTGGGCGGAGCGTTTGGGGTTCACGGGCATGGGCGGCGGGGGCACGCCGTGCTGGGTTGTTGTGTCGGAGGTGATGAGGGAGCGGTGAAGGGCGTTTAATTGGGAGAGCTCGGCGGCGAGGGCGCGCGAGGAGGAGGTTGAGGAGAGGGATTTGGATTGAGGGTCTAGTTGGAGGGGGAGAAGGTCGAAGTGCGTGAGGTCTGTCATGTTGGGCGGTGGTTATGTGTT